TTTCTTTGATATTTTCTATTGTTTTATTCTTCTCGATTTTATTTATTTCTGCTCTAATCTTTATTATGTCCCTCCTTCTACTGACTTTGGGCCTCATTTGTGCTTCTTTACCTAGCTTCATTAATTGTGAGTTTATACTGTTCATATGGGATTGTTCTTCTTTCCTGAGGTAGGCCTGTATTGCAATATACTTCCCTGTTAGCATGGCCTTTGATGAGTCCCACTGATTTTGCTACGTTGAATTATTTTTGTTATTTGTTTCCATATATTGCTTGATCTCTGTTTTTATTTGGTCGTTGATCAATTGATTATTTAGGAGCATATTATTAAGCCTAAATGTGTTTGTGGGCTTTTTCATTTTCTTTGTGTAATTTATTTCTAGTTTCATACCTTTGTGTTCTGAGAAGCTGGTTGGTACAATTTCAATTTTTTGAATTTACTGAGGTTCTTTTTGTGGCCTAATATGTGATCTATTCTTGAAAATGTTCTATGTGTACTTGAGAAGAATGTGTATCCTGTTGCTTTTGGATGGAGTGTTCTGTAGATGTCTGTTAGGCCCATCTGTCCTAAAATGTTGTTCAGTGCCTCTGTCTCCTTACTTATTTTCTGTCTGGTTGATCTGTCCTTTGGAGTGAGTGGTGTGTTGAAATCTCCTAAAATGAATGCATTGCATTCTATTTCCTCCTTTAATTCTGTTAGTATTTGTTTCACATATGTAGGTGATCCGGTGTTGGGTGCACAGCTATTTATAATAGTTATATCCTCTTGTCAGACTGATTCCTTTATCATTATGTAATGTTCTTCTTTGTCTTTTGTTACTTTCTTTGTTTTGAAGTGTATTTTGTCTGATACAAGTACTGCAACTCCTGCTTTTTTCTATTAGTTGAATGAAATATCTTTTTCCATCCCTTTACTTTCAGTCTCTGTATGTCTGTAGGTTTGAAGTGAGTCTCTTGTAGGCAGCTTATAGACGGGTCTTGTATTTTTATCCATTCAGTGACTCTATGTCTTTTGATTGGTGCATTTAGACCATTTACATTTAGGGTGATTATTGATAGGTATGTACTTATTACCATTACAGGCTTTAGATCCATGGTTACCAAAGGTTCAAGGGTAATTCCATTAGTATCTAACAGTCTATTTTAATTAGTATGCTATTACAAACACAACCTAAAGGTTCTTCTTTTTTTCCCCTCATTTTTCTTCCTCCTCCATTCTTTATATATTAGGTATCATTGTCTATCCCCTGATTGACTTCGGGGATAGTTGATTTGATTTTACATCTGCTTAGTAATTAATTATTCTACTTTTTTTACTGTGGTTTTATTTCCCCTGGTGAGAGCTAGTTAGCCTTAGGAACAGTTCCATCTATAGCATTCCCTCCAAAATCCACTGTAGAGGTGGTTTTTGGGAGGTAAGTTTTCTCAGGTTTTGCTCATCTGAAAACTGTTTAATCTCTCCTTCAAATATAAATGATAATCTTGCTGGGTAGAGTATTCTTGGTTCGAGGCCCTAAATATACCATGCCACTCCCTTCTGGCCTGTAGTCGGATGAGAAGTCTGATGATAGCCTGATGGGTTTTCCTTTGTATGTGATCTTTTTTCTCAGTCTGGCTGCTTTTAATAGTCTGTCTTTATCCTTGATCTTTGCCATTTTAATTATTGTATGTCTTGGTATTGTCTTCCTTGGGTCCCTTGTGTTGGAGATATATGCAATTCCATGGCCTGAGAGACTATCTACTACCCCAGATTAGGGAAGTTTTCACCAATTACCTCCTCAAAGACACTTTCTATCCCTTTTTCTCATGGTTCTTCTTCTGGTACCAATATATGTTACTTTTTAATATGGAAAAAAGCTAAAAAATAAAAATGTCTCAAATCAGCAGAAAAGAATTTTCATGAATTCTAAGACATGATTAGTTGATGACCTAAATAGACACATTTGTTAGGACACAAACCTTATTTTTGGGAAAAAAAAGTTTACAATGTAATGAAAAGGTAACGCTCATTTATTCCCAAATACACATTTTCCATTTTTCTGTTACATAACACCTGTGTGTATAGGCTGGTCTAGTTATCAACTTATTGATACTCAGTTGCCCCATAGAGTTCTGCTTGTCCTTGGAGCTGATCCTCAGGGCAGAGAGGTGTTAACTATTCTCTGTTCTTAGGACTAGATGAGCTGGGCACTGGTCAGAATTAGGTCACTGAGAGATGAATGAACAGCAGCGGACAGATCAGTTGGGAAGATGGTTAAAGTTTTCAAGTATGTAATATCAGCTGAGACATTATCTTAAGAGATTAACTGAGAGTTACATTGATTTTGAATGTACTCCTTCATGCTTTTAAAATCATGCAAAATGTGGAAGAAAGTGCCTTTGCTAGTCTAAAAATAGACCAATGGTTTAAAATGATTGCTGCATTTGTAGGTAATTATTCCACCTTAAAAAAGAAAATTGTGAGTCTCCTGATGACTCAGCCTGAAATTAAAGGCATGACTGTGTGCACCAAAGTCAGGAAATGTAGACACAGCACCAAGTGTCCCATGGACATGGGTCGCTCCTGACAGGGCTGAACATGCTAACCAGCACAGGTATCAAATCTCATCCATCTGCAGGCTGCCTAAATACTATGTCAGGAGGTAAGAGCTGTGTGTCATAGCTCACAGGACGACTGAGCATTTCTCCCCTGCTGTGCATATGACAATAAAAATCACTTTAAATCACCAAATCCCCTCAAGTACATCCTATGCAAAATGGGCCATTAACTATGTGCATATCATTTCAGTAGTACTTTCCCCTTTCATAGATTAATTAAATTTTACATTTCTCAGATTATGGAGAAGAACTCATTAAACTGTCACAGTTCATTAAAATAATAAAATTTAGTAGAGTTTCTCTTAAAAATTAAGATGAAGTAGTCTAAACAGCTTTTTATGGTAAAACATTTGAGTGAAGGAACAATCTACACGTAACTACCATTCTATATAAAGATACATATTGCCCTACAGCTGTATTTGTGATAGAGTATCTTGGATGGTTATTGGAAGGAAAGTCTGCAAACTAATTGTTCAACTTTTAATTAGATGCAACTATAAAATTCTAGTACATTTCAGAAGCAAGGTTTTACTTTTATCTTCATTTTGACGAAAGCAGTGCAATTTTTAGCTCTCAGAATTCTATTAAAAATGTACTGAGATTACAGAAAAACCATCCAAAAGAGGAAGTATTTCTTATTAAGCAGGTTTTGCCTAAAGGCATAGTCTCAAATCAGCAGAAAAGAATTTTCATGAATTCTAAGACATGATTAGTTGATGACCTAAATAGACACATTTGTTAGGACACAAACCTTATTTTTGGGAAAAAAAAGTTTACAATGTAATGAAAAGGTAACGCTCATTTATTCCCAAATACACATTTTCCATTTTTCTGTTACATAACACCTGTGTGTATAGGCTGGTCTAGTTATCAACTTATTGATACTCAGTTGCCCCATAGAGTTCTGCTTGTCCTTGGAGCTGATCCTCAGGGCAGAGAGGTGTTAACTATTCTCTGTTCTTAGGACTAGATGAGCTGGGCACTGGTCAGAATTAGGTCACTGAGAGATGAATGAACAGCAGCGGACAGATCAGTTGGGAAGATGGTTAAAGTTTTCAAGTATGTAATATCAGCTGAGACATTATCTTAAGAGATTAACTGAGAGTTACATTGATTTTGAATGTACTCCTTCATGCTTTTAAAATCATGCAAAATGTGGAAGAAAGTGCCTTTGCTAGTCTAAAAATAGACCAATGGTTTAAAATGATTGCTGCATTTGTAGGTAATTATTCCACCTTAAAAAAGAAAATTGTGAGTCTCCTGATGACTCAGCCTGAAATTAAAGGCATGACTGTGTGCACCAAAGTCAGGAAATGTAGACACAGCACCAAGTGTCCCATGGACATGGGTCGCTCCTGACAGGGCTGAACATGCTAACCAGCACAGGTATCAAATCTCATCCATCTGCAGGCTGCCTAAATACTATGTCAGGAGGTAAGAGCTGTGTGTCATAGCTCACAGGACGACTGAGCATTTCTCCCCTGCTGTGCATATGACAATAAAAATCACTTTAAATCACCAAATCCCCTCAAGTACATCCTATGCAAAATGGGCCATTAACTATGTGCATATCATTTCAGTAGTACTTTCCCCTTTCATAGATTAATTAAATTTTACATTTCTCAGATTATGGAGAAGAACTCATTAAACTGTCACAGTTCATTAAAATAATAAAATTTAGTAGAGTTTCTCTTAAAAATTAAGATGAAGTAGTCTAAACAGCTTTTTATGGTAAAACATTTGAGTGAAGGAACAATCTACACGTAACTACCATTCTATATAAAGATACATATTGCCCTACAGCTGTATTTGTGATAGAGTATCTTGGATGGTTATTGGAAGGAAAGTCTGCAAACTAATTGTTCAACTTTTAATTAGATGCAACTATAAAATTCGAGTACATTTCAGAAGCAAGGTTTTACTTTTATCTTCATTTTGACGAAAGCAGTGCAATTTTTAGCTCTCAGAATTCTATTAAAAATGTACTGAGATTACAGAAAAACCATCCAAAAGAGGAAGTATTTCTTATTAAGCAGGTTTTGCCTAAAGGCATGTTTCTATAATGAAAAAGAGAGTAGGAATGGTAGGGTCATGAATTTCCAGCCTCCCAGAATTTGCACTACAGCAATTTGATTGATCCATATTTTTACAAGGTTTGCTAAGGACAGGAAATGTTAAGCTAATGCCAATTACTGTACATTAAGTAAACTGCTTCCTTTCTCTCACCTAACAAAATAAAGCTTGAAGGTTTAAAATAAGATTTCCTTATAGTCTCAGAGAACCAGGGGGCACGTAAGAAACTCGTGAGAAATATTCCTGAAGAAATAACACATTTGTGGGTCCATATTCAGGGGAACACCATTCATTCCCAATTAAGACACTTCTGTCTTCTGTTACACAAACCTATGCACGTGGGTGGGTCTGGCTGCCAAAAGAAGCGGCTCTCCACCTGCACACAGGTGATCCTGGCTTGTCCTTGGAGCTGATACCCGGGGTCGCACTGGAAGGCGATGGTGTCTCCTGGCTCTCTACTGTCCCCATAGCGGGTGCCGTTCTGCGGCATTCCTGGGTCATTACAGGAGGATGCGACTGATGCTGCAAAGAGAAAACAGCCCAGGTCAGAGGATGGGAAACATGCATCTCTCACCTGGCCAGGGGTGGAGCTCCTGTGCTGAAGCCCCTTGACGGGCACACGGGTCACTCATCTACACAGGGCATAGGAAGAGTTTCTTCTCCCTGGAAAACATTCCAGAGCATGCATGCTGATTATGTTTACTTTGAACAGAAACTAGCAAAATGTTGTTGAAAATGCAACCAATTATGAATGATATCAAGGAGTTGTATCATGTGATATACTTAATACACACAAATGCACATTCCCTTTGACTGTCTTCTTAACAGTATTTTAATGACAATATATAATACAGTGCAAACAGTTTAATTAAAGAACATTAATCTCAAAGAACCTTGAGTCAGATGAAACAGGACAAATTCCATTAAGGTTTTTGCCTTCCCGCGTGACAACCCACTGAGGTGACCAAATCATCCTTGCTGGTGCCCTAACGGGAGCCAGCCAGCAAGGAGAGCACATATTGGTTGTTCTGTCCCAAAATACCTTTAGTTCTTTCAAAATATTTTTAATTCTCCTTTAATCCTAAAGGAACTTTTTGCTCAATTTATAGTTCAGAGTCAATAGTTGGTTGGGGTTTTTCCCTCCCAAGACTGTTAGGGAATCATGCCACTTCTTCTGGCTTTCAGTTTTCTCACATCATCTCAGAGTCTGAAGTTACATTAAGATCAGATCTGTCTTTGATACTCTAACCTTCACAATATTGTGTCTATGTATGCATTTCCTCTGATTAAGCTTAATTGAGATTCATTCAAATTTTTGAATCTGAGGATCAAGCCATTATCTCAGTCACATGTATGACTACAAATTCATTTCCAAGTGATAATTTGTTACATAGCTTATAAAATATTAAAGTAATTTAAAAATAAATATACATAGCAGTATTAAAACAATTACTTGTTTATTATATAGTAATATTCAAATAAAACTTAATTAAAAATTATATATAATTACTATATATATTCTGTATTTCACAAATTATATAAAATGTAATTATAATTAATTATAATAATGCTTAAGGAAAATATAAATTAAAATTAAAAAGTATATTATGTATTAAAATGATTAAAATAGAAAACTTTAGAAGGAAAGCCAAGGAGATCACGGGTAAGCCTCATTATAATTTTTGAAACCAAGATACGTTCTTATCACTTCTCTAAATTTTTATTCAATATTTATGAAAAGCAAAATCACATATTACATAATGAAGAAGCTTTATGCAAAAGTGAACAGATTTTGTACATCAGCAAGTTCAGCAGACACATCACCCTTGCAAAAGCAAGTGGTCTGCAGAACATGTTTCTGCGGGTTACCAACAGGCACCTGGTCGGACAAGATCGGCAGGTCTGCACCCGCCAGCTCACTGCAGCCCTGCTGCATGTCTGGGATTACAGGCTCAGAGAAGTTTTACATTAAAAAAACTTTGAAAAACAGTTTAATCCAGTTTAATTAATACTGAATTTATGTAATCACAGTGCACATTTTTCTCCAAAAGACTCTTCAAATCCTTCCAAATAATGAACCATGCTGTATCCGTCTATGAAACACTGGCTTGCACTAATGGTTATATGTCCCTTAATGGTATGAGGTTCAGTTCAGTTTTGAAAGTACATTTTCTACTTCTGAGCTGATTCGGAGTATCAATAATAATAACAGAGCACACGATTAAAGAGGTATTTGCTCATGAAGTTCATGCTGTGTGACAAACAGAAATACTACATCTATGTCTCCAGCTGCCATTTATGTGAATCATATGAAAGTGTGAGCCGTGGCACGCTGACCCCATGTATGTGCTCACAGGGGATGTGTGTATCTGCTGGTGCATCTCCAAAGACTGCTTGAGTGACCAGTATATCAACCACTAAGGCTTAGTTGAATTGAAATGAACCCCACATCATTATGGTTCCCTTTTAGAATTATGAAATAATCAATAAAATGTTTCTGGGGATACCTAGATTGGATTAAAAAAGCAATAAGAGGTTTTAAACAATGTGGTAGAAATGCATTGGTCAGGTCTTTGAAATAAATGCCATTTTATTTCCTTCTAGTTATGAATTGTGGAAAGGTGCTTCCTGGGAAAGGCAATAAAGCTTATTTGGGAACAGATAGGAAAGCTCCCACCCAAAGACGTTTCCTAGGGGTCAGAGATTGCTTTTCTGTCTTCAGGGTCATACCAAGTCACTGAAGAACTGTGTGCTCATTTCTTCTTTATGATTGTATTCTTTTATGTGGCACAACATTAACTTTTACTCATTTTTTTCTCTTAAAATTTTTTTCTCCATTTGGAATTCTGGGGACTCTGAATCTTTCTATCTTCTTGCCATAAAAAAGGAAACAGGGTATTTAATAGCATCAGTCCTACCCCTCTATTACCTCAAGTGAGAGGGGCCGTTCCCAGGTGATGATGCATAGTGTGCTTTTCCATTTCCCACAGGTTCCCTAGAGTATTTCAGGTCGTAAAGATTCTCCACAGGCTGCCCAGAACCTAAGGGCTGTCCCCATTCCTTGCCTGCATGAATCCGGGTCCAGTGCAGTCAGCCTGAGCAGCCCTAAATGGTGTTCCACTGATACAGGACTTCTGTCTGTGACAGACAGTGATGATAGTAAAGAGCTGTTATATGACAAGGAACTGCAATGGACACAAGCTTCTTTCCAGCTGGATAAGTTATTTTTGACACCAGGGACCATATATACATATACTATATATATGAACTTCTGTAACACTCCCTCAGCCCTGCCCACCCCAGGTGTTTAGAAGGAAGACAACTGACACCCATACAGAAAGTGATATTTCATTTTTTTTGTGTGGATATTTCAGGGGATCAGTGGAGTATAGCAGATGGAAATTCTGGGCTTCATCCTGATAAAGAGTGGGCAGGTGTTTCAGATGATCATTTGGGGAGGAAAGTGACCACATTAGCATTATGGGTTCATCAAACAGACCATAGTTTTATTAACTGAATTAATCTGTGTATTAATGAGTTAGTGACCCATTTATTATTTTCCATCTCTATAAATGTGAAAGATGTAAACGGCAACTTAAGGTAGCAGAATATGCCACCCGAAACTATGCCTTTTAGGCATAGGATGTTTTTGAGCTGATTATTTTGAGAAACAAAACATAGGAGTTACGAAAACAGAGTAGTTACTCTTTTGTACAGGGTGTCGCTGAGGACCAGGAAGAGAACTAACCAGAGACTAAACCACAGGAGAACCTGATCGCTGGAGAAGATGCCAACTTAAATCTGCCAATTGACGTGGCCCTCCGTGTGAGGGAGGCAGCGTGGAATCGGGGTGTGCAATAGGATGATGGCGAGTCTGGCTTTGCCTAGGAGAGTCCTAGCTGACACCTGTTGTCCAGCCTAATTACTAACAGGACCCATGGCTACTCTTAAAAATACCTCCATCTGAATAGCACACAGTCTCTCTGCTCATGGAGCCCACTGCGCCTGGTGGCCAGCAAGGAGGGACAAGGCTGGGATGCACGACACAGACAAGAGGGGAACCTTGGGGACAGCGTGCAAGCAGTGGGCCCCGGGCTGTGGGGAGGCAGCCCCTGCCCTCTTCCCATTCAGAGGGGTCTGCGGCACACACATCTCCGTCAGCGACCACCGAAAGGCCGTGAGAGAACCACCTCGCTGCTCTCATCTCCGGGCCTCTGGAAAGCTGGCTGCCCGTTGCCACAGACAAGTTTCTGTTCACTTTACTAAATTCTGCTCCTCCTACCAGTTTTAGCTCAAATATCATCTTTTCAAGAAGTCTTCCCTTGCTCCCTTCTCCAGGCAGACACCCTTTGGAAGCCCCTGTCTTTTTCTAGAGGACTCGCCCCACCACACTTTCCCACTGATTTGATTTACTGTCATCGCACGGTGCTTCCTGAGGCCAGAACCACCTGTCTTTGCTCACTGATAAGCCAAGGGCCAGCACAGCCTTGTATACAGTAGGCACTCAATAAGTGCTGGCTGAATCAAGTGTTTAAAGCACCCAGCCCAATGCCTTGACCAAAATAGGTATTTAATGAACACTAACTACTCTAAGCATTATCATGACATAACAAAGGACATGTTTCACAGTGCAGGTGAATTATTTGCAAAATAAAAGTTAAGTATGAGTTAAATAATCAAGTCTCAAAAAAACAAATATAGAACAATTTTACACATACATTGGAAGTGATGTAAACCCGATTAAAACATGTAATGTAAACTTTGATTTAAATGAAAATAACTGGCATTGACAGGGGGCACCGAGAAAAAGGAAATGAGGTGTTTGGTATTAGTTCTTCTAATCTGAATTATTTCCTGATCTAGACCTCATCTGAGGAAATTGAGTTTTCAATTGAGTTTCGATTTCATTTTTATAAATAGCTAGTAGAACTGTTTCTGTTAAATGTTTAGAAATGTATCAGAAATACTTCTGAACAGCTGCCAGTTGTCATGGTATGGATTAAATGTCAAGTGCAAAATCATTAGTTTTTTCTCAGTGAGGTTAAAAACTAACATAAAGGTACATAGAAAATGCAGTTTGTTATAGAAGCCACCCTATTATGAAGCAGAGTATGGAAGGCAAAGCCACATTTTTACATAAAAAATTGGTGAAGTAATGATAATATGCAAACATTGTCCCAAATGTTATATCTTACAGCCTTCCCGAGTGGGAGTTCTCATTTTTGCTTTGAACTTTTTATTGCTGCTTCCCGATTAATCTACCAAATTTGTGGATGAAAGGACACTTCTTCAGAGATTTCACTTGCCTACTGATAAAAGCTTTAATCTCACTTCTACTACAGCCAAATGGATGAACAACGTTGGCTGGGTCTCACTGTGCACTGTGAATCTCACCCCCAAACCCACTGTCCTGGACATGATACTTCAGGGCCCTGTCCCCGCCTGTCCACACCAGGACAGGGGCACCAGACTCCCGTGCGTTTGCGTTCCTGACTTACAAGAAAGACAGCAGTACGTTTGTT